CAGGCCAAACAACAAATTGATGAGAGCGCCAGGATTATCCTGCACAAGAGTTCATTTAGATCACTCTTCTCTGTATCCATCCCTGTGCTCTATAATTCATTTTTTATTAAATATCACATTCAGAATCAGAAGATCATGGACCCTGAGACATTTCTTTTCTCCTAGTAGACTATGGCCTATATTTGTATCTCGCCCACGCCATTTTCAGGACCAAATTTTGGCGGAAGGCAAAATGGATTATATAATAGGAATATCACACATAATGGGAACCAGCCTAGTAGGAAATTTGGTCCCAGAGATCTGAGAGGCACTAACGAGGGAGGAAGAGAGCAGAGATAACAACAGACAGCAGTTGTATTTCTTCCCCGTTACATTGTATCATACTAAGATACATTCTCCCTTCCTGAAGGTCCTGCCATCAGTGTGTCCAACACCACATGCATCAGGATATTGGTGCCCTTTTGTAGTTCTTAGCTGTCGGTCATTTCTTGTGCTGGCACTCTCCAAGAGCTGACCCAAACCAGACTGCAAATGTGCTTGAGTGTTTTTGGCAACACTTCATAATAAACGCCAAACCATTTATGTGGCCTGTTTCTATCGTAATATTAATCAAACTGGATTCCTGTGGTGCTCATATGGATGACATATGTAAATCCTTCAGAACTCCACTGCCTCTAACTGCAAGTTAAAGTCAATGGGAAATTTCTCTCCTGTCTCCATCTTGCAACTCTTAACTACTGCGCATTTATTCCATTCATGAAATACTGATTACTGTGCAAATGAGGAAATACCAGAGTTGATGAAACCCATGAGGAGCATTAATAAGGCTTCTGATTTTATAGGGAAGGTGCTCAGACACCACGTGCATACGGAGCACCACGGACAGAAGTGAACATACGCATCTTTTATATTATCATAACTGTGTACTCCACATATTGATTAAAACAAACACACCCACCAGCATTTCCAAGTGTCCATCTCCTTAAAAGGAATATTTGCAGAACAACAGGTTTTCCAGGCCAATGCTTGTCTTCAGCAGTGACTAGTCCCACTCAGTTTAGAAAAAGGTATGAGAGACCTCCTAAGAGCAGTTCTAGAACAAATTCTCCTTGAAGAGTTTTCTCCCCAAACCTCATAAATTACACCTGAGTTTGCAGAATTGCATGTCTTTGTCATTTTTACTGTGGAGAGAGAGAGTGACAAATAGAGCTTGTATTTTGCTCTGAAAATATTAATCACTTTTTTTTTTTTTTTTCTGAGAAGGGGGCCCAGTAGTGGCGGACTAGCTGCTAGACCCATACATTAGCTACTGGCCAGCCAGAAGCTCACTTGGCTTTAGCCAGGATCTTAAACCTTGCAGAGGACGGACTGAGCTGAGGATCTGAAACAGGAACCGTATTAGTACCTCTATTGTATTATCTCTTGCGTTTAGCGGATGGAGGTCAGCCATCCGCTTCTGCTCTCTGGGAATCTGCCTGCAGCCTTCAATGCAATGCAGGAGGTGGCATTGCTTGCCTAAAGGAAAAAAGAACACACACGTGGACTGAGATGCTTTCAGTCCTTCCTGGAAGGCTGCCCTCCAGGTGCAGCAGCGAGACGCTCACCTCCCTCATTATGCCACCAGCGCCCTTGAGGCATACCTGTCTGCCCAATATCAGTTCAGGTCCCTGGCAAGGACTGGGGAGTATCTCAGATTTGACAGCTAGCAGTGAATGGATGAATCATCGCTTCACCTTTCCTTCACTGCATATCATAAACCTACTATCAGGAAACCTGTTGGTGCTGCACATGGGTCAGGGGCAGCTTGCTGAAGTGGAACCGAAAGGAGAGTGGAGGTTACATTGCCTGGCTGAGCTCTGACTGAATCCTTTGGCTGAAAACACACACTGACAACTGGAGTAGATCCCCCTAGACACTAGCATCCCTACTGCTGAGGTGACTGCATCCCATCCCAGTGGGCTGCAGAGCACTTTGTTGTGACTCTAGCTATGGTAAACATACCTATCCTGCCCTCTTCTCTGCATTTACATCTTATCCCCTGGCATAAGAAAGGGTTCAGGAAGAGACTCAGATGTTAGTCATATCACTGGGTGCACTTTGGAAAGCATTCAGGTGCTTTCTCACTGAGAAAGCTTATCAGGTATGTCCATGAGTGTGACTCCAAAGTGAGTCTCCATTGTTCCAGTGAAATATCTTTGTCATGAGAAGTCACAGTTACCCAGCAGCAATCCCTTTAGATCTACTGACCATTCACATGAGTAGCCTTGAAGATGAAAACCGAATCTCCAGAACCCAATAAATCTTTTTTTCCAGGAAAGCCAGCAACCAGACAGAGGACACAATCTTGTGCTCTGTATTTAACTGCAGCATGATCTAATTGCTATTTTAGATGAATATCTTTTCTTCTTTGGTTGCGGTATCTTGCAATGGAAGTAATATCTTCAGCATGGCAAATCCAGTAGCCAGAATATTTGAAAAGAGCAACTGGGCAGTTGCATCCACAAATGGGAAATCCTTGCAGGAGTGTTCCCTGTAAAGAACCGACAGTAGCCAGGGGAAGCCTAGTTAGGACTAGGGGAGTCCGTTAGCTGGCAGAGGTGCCTGAGTGGTGGGGACAATCTGTGACAAGCACCTTTTGCTAGGGAAAGGTGTTTTGAACTAGAGGAGGCAGCTGTGGATGTATTTGAGCAAGGGAAAGACTGGGCACAAAGAAAAAGTGGGAGGACAACACTAACAGGGGATTGAGGGGGATAAAGCTGTCCCTAAAGTGGCCAGGTGTCGGAGAGGGGCTTTCTCCAGCTGGGGGGTTGTTAGGGGATTTTTCTGGGGTACTGTGTGTAGGCTCTGGCCACTCTTTAGGACACAGGACATCCACATGGGGGTCCTTCTCTGGTCAGGGGAGGTCACCAAGGTGCATGGGGTTTGCCTATGGGGATGGCTTGCACAGGGGATCACTCTCAATGCAAGTTGGGAATGGTGCCAGTGAAAGTCATGAAATACAGCCTTAGCATGAGGTCCTTCTAGCTGCAAGTCAAAGACGATCCCAGTCTCTGGCTGGGGGGAGGGTTTGGGGTGTGCTAGGATACATCTGTGCTGTCTCTAGCTGGGTGGTTGCTGCAAGGCTGCATGCAAGGCAGTGTCCTGCTCCAAGTATGTCCGGGCAGAAGGGGAGCAGGAGAAATCTGGGGGCTGTTCAGGTCTCCAGTTAGCCTGAGGGGGAACTTTGGGGGCAGGAGGGGGAGCAAGATGTCCCTTCATCTAAGAGTATCACTAACCAAGGGTGAGGTCTACTTCTAAATTGTGTGGGGCAGTCACTAGATCTGGGTGGCACTAGGGTCTCTCAAGTATCGTCTCAAGTATCTCTAGAAGATGTTGCCGGGTCAACACGGAAGATGGGATCCTTTTAGCTGGCTACACCTCTGGATGGGGATGCGGGCTAGGGGGCTGTGTGCAGGGATAACTCATGTTCAGTGTCCTGGCCCCACAGCACCAAACTGGCCTCCTGCACCAGCACAGCCCCTGCCTGCTCAAGGCCCGCTTGAGGCCTCCGGCCTAAGCAAGCCCAGGCCAGAAAGCTTGGCCTCTCATTTGTCATGTGCCTTCCTCAGCTAGGAACCTGTCACTCCTCTGAGGGAGTCTGTTCACGTAGGGGGGACACCCTCTCCGTGCAGGAAGAGCTGTCACCCTGCAGAAAAGCAGCCTGGCCGACGGCGAGGTGTCTGATGTTCCTGGGGAGGCACCTTCTGCATTCGCCATGCAGGCATTGCCGGGAAAGAAGGACACAAGGTGTCCGCAGGGATCCCCTGCGGGCTTCATACGAGCGCGCCTGCAGCGGGACCCCATGAACACGCGGAGCCTCCACCACGGGGTCCCCAGGGAGTGCCGGCAGGTCTGCCTGGCCGCGGTCCCACCAGCATGAGGGTGGCCCATAGCGGGGTGCCGTGCTCGTGCGGGCGGGTCTCTGGGGGATGGGGACGTCCTGGGGG